ACAATAAGTCGTGTTACCTAAAATCTGATTAATATTCTTTTTGGACTCTTTTCTGCCTTTTAATTTATTTTTTTTTGTCTATTCCACCCTGTATTTTCCATGCTTGCAGCCTAATGTTAATATTTTTATATGTGTTATATAATTTTTTGTTAATTTTAGCTCCTCGCTTTTGTTTTGGTAATGCTACCTGTCAATTACCTTATTGTTATTTTCATCGTTATAAATACATAACTCTCATTATTATTATTATTATTATTATTATTATTATTATTATTCACAGCGTATAACATTAACTCTAATCAACTGAAACTTGCTCAATGAGGGAGTATCAACAAATAATTACCAGAGGGCAACATGGCGCTAGGCTTTCCTACCCCCACTATTTGTTCTCTCATTTACCTATCTTCAGTGTAGTTGTGCAGTGTTGTGTGTGTATGCGTACATAAATACAGGTATATCGTTATCATTGACATCATCATCATTCTCATCATCGTCATTGTCATCGTCGTCATCATCATATTATTATCATTACTATTACTATTACTATAAATACCACCACTAATTATAAGTTAGTACGGCCGCAGCCACCGTTTTGGCGCTTAAGTAGTAGTATTAATTAACAACTCACCGATCGTTTGTTCACCCTAGCATCAACCGAATTGTTAAGCGATTTTCGCCGCTCTTTTTGCAATGAGCTTAGCTGAACGAACAACCAATGTTTAGCATTAGTAAACATTAACAATATCTTTTCGTAATGTTAAGGTTAAAATATATTGAAATTCTGTCAATTTCGTTGTAAAAGGAAAAGAAAGGGCATGTGCAAATGAATCTCCTTCCCTTCTCTTAGCGCAAAGAGGAGAGTGAACCGGATGTGGGAAGTGCCAATTTCTGAGTGGCTGAACTAGAGCAGTTCTAGCCAATGAGATTTTCGGCTATTATCATTTTTGCAAGATTTTCCCCCGGCAAGCTCTCCTGCGTTGTTATCGAACCAGCGCGTCACCGAGGTCCACTAGTCCTTATAAAAAGGGCTTGAACTTTGAAGGCACAGGAAAAACAGAGTTTAATTTTCACCCTTGAACGGTTGACTAAGTAGCTAGAGTCCGCCTCTGCTATCTCACGGTCCTCCACGAGTGCGGTTTTCAATCTTCGATCTCGGACACCCGCGCGGGTTCGCTCCGGTGTATACGTTAAGACCAGAAATAAAAGTAAGTCAAATTGTAATATTAAAGTGAAAGTTTTTTCCTTTTTCTCTCGGTTCGAAATTCGGTATCGGTAAATATCGCGCTACGAATTTAAATAGACAAATTACTCCTCACGTAAAGTCTAGGACAATCACATTTACCCCGGATGGTACTGGTGGATCCTAGACCGGTCGCGAACTTAAACCATTTTCCCCCCTTACGTAACCTCTCGAGTGTAACTACCTTTGCTCGTTACGGTACTGGTAACCTCTAGATCGCAAACGGGATACGGTACCACACATCACACCAAGTATCCTCGATAAATCCAAGCGCGCCGCGAACAAGTACATCACATTATTGCTCGACAATCGATCGCGTCGATTTAATTAAATTATTGGTTATATAGGCGTTAACGGTCGCCCTCACCCCATTTCAAATACTCAGACAAGAAAAATAACTACCTTTTAGCCCCGCGTTCCACCTACGCGTCCAGTGCGAGTCCCGAGCTATTAAGCGAAAGCTCTAGCTTAGGCTCGAATGGTACGTTGCACCAAGGTAACAGTATCAATGGTTTTTAAGGGCGCTTATTTCAAATTAGACGAACAAATTATGTTACAATGTCACATATGAATATAGTAAGTAACTAAATCAATAATAAATAAATTATGCAAGATCATTATACATGTATATTTCGAGCTACATATCATTTTAGTGGTTTTTAAGGGCGCTTATTTTGAATTTGATGAACAATTAATGGCAAAATGTCATTAAGTTATTATATAAAAATAAAACAAAAATTGTATTAATTGGCTATACAATTACAAAAAAATAAGTGAGAAAAAAAAAAATTAATGAAATGAAATACAAAAATAAAATGAAATGAAATCAAAACATGAAAAAATACAATGGAATGGAAAATACGTCATGCATAAATACAGTACTCACGAAGTTCAACTATCGTAAGTACTGAACTAAATTTTCTCATTTTTTTTATTCGTTTTTCAAGTTTTTGTTTCAGTGAGCTACATGAATGCAGTACTTATTTTTATAGAGCTTCGTTCTCCCTATAGGTCTAACGACCCCCTTGTTACCGCACGAAATTGTGTGTCTTTATACTCATCTCATGTTTAAAGAACTTCGTCCTTACCGTGGGTCCNAAATTTTATTAAATTAAAAGAAACAAACCAGGGGGTATGAATGGGTCATGGGACCCACGGTTAGAACGAAGTTCTTTAAACATGACATGATTATAAAGACACACAATTTCTCAGGTTACAAGGGGGTTGCCAGACCCATTGGGATTCCAAAAGGTCACGTGACTCTCGCGGTATATATAGTCACTTGGGGGAAAAATAACACAGGCCTTGTACGTGCAATTATATTTTTATTTCTTTTACCCGTTCAACGATTGTAATACGATAAAAGCCTTTCCATAACACATTTTTGAGGAGATGACAATACCTTATTAGCTATTTTTTCCAAACTAATTGGTCTTTTGCAGCTTAAAACTTTCCTTTGAAAGGGCGAAAACGTACATTAAACCTTACCAACATCCCGCTTGTTGTCCTATGTATAGTCGGGAATGGGAGAACTTCGTACAGGTTAAATGTGCGTTTTCGCCCTTTCAAAGGAAAGTTTTAAGCTGCAAAAGACTAGTTGAGTTGGGAAAAAATAGTTAAGGTATTGTCATCTCCTCAAAAATATGTTATTAAACGGTTTTTATCGTATTACAATCGTTGAACGTGTAAAAAAAATAAAAATATAATTGCACCTACAAGGCCTGTGTTATTTTTCCCCCAAGTGACTATAAATACCGCGAGAGTCACGTGACCTTTTGGAATCTTAATAGGAAAAACGAAGCTCTATAAAAATAAGTACTGTATTTATGTTGTTTACCGAAACAAAAACTTGAAACGAAAAAAAAAAAAAAAAGAAAATTTAGTTCATCGTGAAAAAATTTATCGTGAGTACTGTATACACTTGAATACGTCATGCATAAACACAGTACTCACGAAGTTCAACTATCGTGAGTACTGTATATAGTTACATACGAATACGATAGTTGAACTTCGTGAGTACGTCATGCATAAATACAGTTATACTCACGAAGTTCAACTATCGTGAGTACTGAACTAGATTTTCTTTTTTTTTTTTATTCGTTTTTTAAGTTTTTGTTTCAGTTACCTACATAAATGCAGCACTTATTTTTATAGAGCTTCGTTCTTCCTATGGGTCTGGCGACCCCCTTGTTACCTGAGAAATTGAGTGTCGTTATACTCATGTCATGTTTAAAGAACTTCGTTCTTACCGTGGGTTCCATGAGCCATTTTTACCCCCTGGTTTGTTTCTTTAAATTTTTTTTTTTTTTTTTTTTTTTTTTTTTT